CCTTCCCAGACGGGCCCGAGCTTCCCTGGGGGGTGGCCTGCTGCTTCGGCCCTCCTCAAGACCAAATCGCCAGCTCTGAACCTCCGAGCCTTGACTTTGCGATTAAAATGTTTTGCTGTCTTTGCTTGGTAAGAGGCCACTTTTATAGCGGCTTGCTCCCGTACTTCTTCCAAGAGATTAAGATGTTCAGTTGTATGCTCCGAGGTTTCTGGCACGAGCCTCCTATGGCTTGGCAGTCTAATTTCCACTGGGACCATTGCTTCAATGCCATAAGCTAACATAAAAGGGGGTTCTCCTGTGGTTGTTCTATGAGTTGTTCTATACGTCCAAAGTATAGAAGGCAGCTCGTCGGACCAAGAACCCCTAGCATTGCTTATTCTTGTTCAGAGGTCTTGTAATATGATTTGATTTGTTACCTCGGCCAGACCATTGCTCTGAGGATGCGAAACTGATGTCAGACGGTGATCAATCCCAAGGTTTGAGCAAAAGTCCCTAAACTGTTGATTTTCAATTTGTTACCTCGGCCAGACCGTTGCTCTGAGGATGCGAAACTGATGTTAGACGGTGATCAATTCCAAGGTTTGAGCAAAAGTTTCTAAACTGTTGGTTGTCAAATTGCCTGCCATTGTCGGTGATGAGGACCTTTGGTATCCCAAACCTGCAAATGATAGATTTCCAAGTGAAGGCTCTTAGCTTGGGCTCCGATATTGTGGCGAGAGGTTCGGCCTCTACCCATTTTGTGAAGTACTCTACTGCTACAGCAACAAACTTTAATTGACCTCTTGCCACAGGAAAGGGGCCAAGGATGTCAACTCCCCATTGTTCAAACGGGGCCGAACAGTTAATGTTGGTGAGGTCTTCGGCTGGTGAGTGGATAATATTGCCAAACCTCTGGCACTTATCACAATTTTTAACATATTCTAAGGCGTCTTTTTTCATAGTTGGCCAGTAGTATCCATATCGTACGAGTTTAAAGGCCAAGGCCTGGCTCCTTGATGATTCCCGCACACACCTTCGTGAACTTCAGCAAGGGCCTGGGATGATTTTGATGGCCTGAGACACCTTAGGTACGGAAGAGTAATACTTCTGCGGAAAAGGACACCGCTGATCATGCAGTACCTAGGAGCTCGGGCTCTGATGCTTCTGGCCAACCTGGCATCGCTTGGTAGACTTCCGTTTGTGATGAATTCAATGATCGGGTCCATCCAGGATGGTTCGTTGTCAATGTCCATGATGTCGAGGATTTGACTGATGCTGGGTTCTGTGATGATTTTAATGTGAACCGTTCTGTCAAGGCCGTCTACCCCCATGAACATAAGCCTGGATAATGCATCGGCTTTTCCGTTGTCCTTTCGAGCAATTTTTGTAATTTCACAGCTCTTGAATTTTCGCTGAAGATCCTGAACCTTCATACAGTACAAACTCATTTTCTCCTCCTTCCTTTCAAATGATCCTTCAATCTGTCCGACCACTAGCTGTGAATCGCTGAATACCTTTACGAACTCGAGCTCTAGGCAAAGGGCCAGTTCAAGAGCAATAACGACGGCCTCATACTCGGCCTCGTTGTTGGTTGCTTCAAACTCGAATCTGAGAGCGCATTGGATCTCTGCTTGTTTGTCAGGGCTGATGATGATGACCCCTGCGCCCGAGCCCGAGGAGTTCGATGCTCCATCCACAAATATTTGCCAAGTGTCCAAATTAGTGCTCATGCTCGAGCTCTCACCTGGCCCCCGAGGCCTAGGGGTTAGTTCTGCAATGAAGTCGGCCAGAGCTTGGGCTTTGATAGATGGGCGTGGTTTGAATTCGATGTCAAATTATCCAAGCTCGATCGCCCATTTCATCAGTCTTCCCGAGACGTCCGGCTTCTGAAGTATATGCCTAAGTGGTT